CATCTTCCTAGCAGCTTCCTCTGCTCCAGCCCCAGTGCCATCTTGTACTTCCCTCAGACTACTGTCAAGCATGTTTCTGCCACAGGGCCTTTGCACTGTTGTACCCTCTCCCAGAGAGCATTTCTTTCAGATGTTCACATGGCTTAAGTTAGTTTTCTGCCCAAATGTCACCTAAACAGAAAGTCTTCTCTCACCTATTGAAGAAAGAGTCTTAATGATTGTCTAGCCTCATTCATGTTGATACCTGACATTAAATTATATTTGTTTGTGTATTCATTTTGGAACATAAGTTCCAAGAAGGCCAAACCTTATTATGTTCTCCATTGGATACTGGCTCACAGAATTGGGCCTGAAAGAATTGAATCCTGGCTCACAGAATGCCCAGTGTGAGTCAAAGACTATTTTTCACTTTTAACATCATTATTTGGTAATAAGCTATCAAGAGTTCTTCATAAAGAGAATTCCTAAGGTCCTCATTAGCCTATTATATATATTCATCATGTCTAGGAATCTAAAAATATAGTGATGTGATTCAATGAAAATATGAAAAAAATGGAGAGAAACATTCTTCTTAGTGAAGACTTCCTAGGTATCTTTCTCCTAGTTGAAATGACAAGAAAGCAAGTTGACGTCTAATATATTCAAGACTACAAAAAGATATTTGAGTCCTTTTTAGATGCTTTTGCTTTTATCATCTGTAGGCCATCCTAAAGTTCACAGAAGTTCTTTAAATTTTGAGATTAACTTTTGCTTACTTATCTCACTCAACAAATATTTATTGCACACTTCCTATGTGTCAGGTACTGCACCAGGCCCTAGCATTATAGGGGGTACCAGACAGAATAGGGAGGGCTCATTCCAGGCAGGAAGAAAGTAAAATCCCTATCATTATGTTTGCAAATAAAAATTATTGATTGTGAGCCAGGTGTGGTGGTGCGCACCTGTAATCCCAGCACTTAGAAGGCCAAGGTGGGAAAATCGCCATGAGTTTGAGGCCAGCCTGGGGGACATAGTGAGTTCAAGGACAGCCTAAACTACATAGTTAGATCCTGTCTCAACAAAACAAAACAAAATTATTGATTGTAGAAATTTTTATGGGCTGGGGATTTAGCTCAGTGGTTCCAGCGTCTGCCTCGCAAGCGTAAGGTCCCGAGTTCGATCCCCAATACCAAAAAAAAGAAGAAATTTTTGTGATATCTACCCTTTGATTCAAAATGCTGGCAATATAATTTATAATTATTGTACACCTAGAAAACATCAACTATATTAACATGGTTTTAAAATTTCTTAGTAACAGATCAGGAAAACCATTTTGACAACAAATTAGATATTTTCTCAAAAGACAGCTGAGTAAGAAATTTGCATACAGTATTTTCTTCCAGCATTGCTGCTGTATCCATACAAACCCACTATAAACAGAAGCTTTCTTTTAAGTGCAAGGAAATACTCAGTTTTGCTTTCTGGCAAAGGCTTAGTATTTTTAGGCTCATTTTAATACTAAAGATTCAAATTTAAGAGGTGAAGAAAAATTCCAGGTTCAGAACCTTATAGTGTTATTTTATGATAACACTGACTATTATATTTCAATAGTGCATGATATATACACAAGGATTATTAGATTAATAACATATCCTATGGTTTAAAAAAATTCTGGGTGAGGAGAGATAAGAAAAGCCAAAGTGAATTTGCTGCATCTGTTATCTGGATATTTGGCATTCTTAGCATGTCCATCCCCAGGAAGCCAGATTAATAGATGACAGAGGAAAAAATGTAAATTGCATTATCATCTTGGAAGTGCTAATATACATGGGTGCTGAAAATCCTATTGAAAGGGGCCTGGCTTATTAACTGTGGCATGCTGCAATTTACATATCTCACCCTCCAGATGTGAGGAGGGTAAATGAAAATGGAGAGGGCTCAGATCAGCAGGGGATAAGGAGGGGAAAATACACATGCACACACTTCGGCTCTCAGTCTGGCCAACTGAAGAAACGGTGACACTTGGTAAAATGATTGACTTTTTCCTAAAATAAATCTGGCTCTGGTTCCTCCTCGGCTGCATTCTGGGAACAGCACAGAAGACAGCACGCCTAACCCTAGCCGGACATTCTGTGCACAGCCCTATCAGCCTTCCAGCTGCTTCCAAGGGCAAGGGCAAATGGAGACACTGAACACACACTGTCAGCCTGAGCTGGCCAGCACAAGAAGAAAACAACTCCGCCTTTACAAAGATGAATTTGGTAAAGTTCATTATACTGTAGAGTCCAAGTCCTGTATAAACTCTAAAGGTAGCCAAAATTGGATAGTAAAATTTCTCATAGGTAACTATTAAGCTCACAGTGTCTCCTTATGCACACATGTGACTTTTGGTAACTTTCAAATATTTAAAAGAAATGAGTATAATGACATTTAACTTATTTTATTTTATTTTTTAAATTAGGGATTTCCCAATAGACATGTGATGTTGTATAAGGAGAATGGTAAGAGGGAACTTGAGAGCTAGGAATACTATCAGCAACCACAAACTATAGTCAAGTATATTAATCTTCAATGGGAACATTAGCATTTCATGGTAAATGCCAATATACTTTCAGTACATTCCAACTAGGATTTGAGTATAGATAAGCATTATAAACAGTAAAAAATCTCTCTTTTTTCAGCTTTTGATTATGGAAATTTTAAAACATACATTAAAAAAAAACAAAATAGTGTAACAAACCCCAGTGTACCTATCACCCAATTCAACAATTATTAACATCTGTTATTTTGGTTACACCGATTTTGGTTTCTACCCATTCCCTTTTCTATTATTATACAGCTTTTAAGATACATGTTGTAGCTATATTGGGAAGCACAAATGAAACCATCATGTAACCCACTTGCCTATCACGACACAGAACACTCCATCTCCTCAGAAAGTCCCAGCCAGGCTACTTGCAGGTAGAACAGTGCTTATCCAAAAGAAGACATATTTTTTCCAGCACAGGAAAAAAAATTAGGGAACACCATCTCCCCAAATCCAGCATGATTTGTCTTTCAAGCAGCCACACAAGGAAATGACGGTGGGAAGCTGACACCCAAACGAAACCAAGGCACTGTTCTTTTCACAGATAGCTTACAGACAGGAGCCTCCAGGAAAAATAGGAGGAATTCAGCAATATATAACAAAAAGCTCCACATCTGGAGTTATCAATCTCTGCATTTGTTTCATCAGTACCCCAAACAAAATTACAGGTCCATAAATGTAACCCAAGAAATAAACAGTAACAATACAAAGTGGCAAAATAACAGCAGGATGATTATAATAGCATTTTTAACTGCTCACTACAGTGAGCACATGCTTGGCAGACCACATGAAATGTTCTACCCTTGCTCTCCAGAAAAGTAGTAACAATCCTATTAGTAACAGGAGTTGGTGATGATGTTAACAGGAGCTAGTGAGTATCGGAGGTGGAGAAGTTGGGGCTCAGAGCTGGTTCTCCAATGATTCTGGCCAAGATGGTGTCAAACAGATAAACTTGCTTGCTGTTAACATTATATATAGCCTGACACTTTGTTCCCCCTATTTAAGTCTTATTTTCCAACTTGTTCACTCAATCATGCTGATAAAACCCTTTTTCTCCTCCCCATGAGTCCCCACTTAAGCTCAAAGAAAAGACTTAGCCAACTCTTCTGCCCTCTTGAAGGGCTGGGGAGGAAGCCTCCACCCTAGGTCCAGCTTACTTGCTTCTTCTCTCCTGAGAGAAAGTACAGTTTCTATGACTGGGAAAGTCTGAAAATGGGCTCAACTTCCTGAAGGTGTGGGTGATGCTAAGGGAAAATGGCTTCCTCCTGTAGAATGCAGGTTCTTTCTAGCCTGCCCGTGTGCAGACAGGGGTAAGCAAACCAGGCAGGTCTCTGCTCTCAGCTCTAGATTCTCCAGTCATGTTGGGTGAGACCATAGGGTAGGTTACCCCTTATTAAGGACTTATCCACCAGACACTGGGGAGCAGAAGACCCTATCTGGGCCCCAGGTCCTGGCCACAATCTTTGTAATGAATAAGGCTGACACCGTGATCAAAATTTGGGTTTTGGGTCTCTTTCCAAACAAGTGAGATTCTGAGGAGGAAAGCTATAACCAACTAGAGTCCCAAACTTCTAAGAAGCCATAATCTTTATCATTTGTCTCAGCTCATTGCATCTGGACTATACTTTTTCCTTTTTGGTGTCCTGTGAGTTATATACTCAAATACAAATATGATGGGTAAGGCAATGGTGCAGGGGATGTGTCCAGCACATTTAGCTTTCCTTACACCTTAACTACTCTCAGCTCATATATGCCCTCCACTGTTATTAATTCTTTTCTCATTCCTAGTGGTCTACCACCTCCTCTCATCCACCCTTATCCCTCCTCCCACTATTGCCACCATCAACGGTGACACCATGCACACCACCAACACCAATCCTTGTGCCATGGTTTGGGGATGCTTTTGTCCCTCTAGAGTTTATGTCCTGGAGCTTGGTGTTAAATATAGTGATGTTGAGAGGTGGTGGACCTTTCAGAGGCTGTTCCTGGTCCCTTCCCAAGCTCTGATTTCCATCTCACTATTTCATCTCTAGCTTTCCCATGTGCTCTCACCATAATGCCATCCACCATGAGGTAACTCAGCTAAGAGGGAAGAAGGGCTGCAGGAGTTGAAGCTATGCTGTTTGATGTTTCAGTCTCCAAAACTGTGAGCTAAATAAACCTCTTTTATTTATAACTACCCACCCTTGGGTATTTCATTACAGTAGCAAAAACATACGAATATAACTATCAGTAACAACAATATCACCACCAGCATCATCATCCGCCAACACCAAACACTATTACTGCCAATATAAACCAATACAACACCACTACTACCAATAACACCAGTAATACCAGCACTAATGCCACCACTGACAGCTGAATAAGTGTTTAAAATTGCGAACTGCCAGTGACATGTATTTAATCAATTTCTTGCCAGGGCTGCTATTACCTTGTTCTCCTCTGGAGTGAAGAGGATTCGGAAAATGGATGGCACTCCTGGAGCTACTTTGTGGCCAATGTCTTTGGGGCTGATTACCTTAAAGTAAGGTGAACTTTCCTCAACAATTTTCACCATTCTTGGAATCTGTAGGAAAAAATACAGAATGATGGACATGTGAAAAAGCAGAAGAAAACACACAAGTTTTAGAGTTAAACATAGAGACTAAAACCTTCATTAACTACTTCCTAGACATATGACCCTGGTCAGGTCTGAACTTCAGTTTCCTCAACTGTAAAGGGATGACAGTGCCTACCTTTATCCCAGTGCCTCACATGAAATAACCCCTCCATATATTTAACTTTAATTTTTATTAATATTATTATATTGTGGATTTTATTATTATTGCAAACTTTTGCTCATTTTATTATTTAAATGTGACTGTCTATAAATTAGCTCCTTAATCAGTTGAAACTTTACCCACATAGTGGAGTTAAGCTGGATTTCCAAACATTTAAGAACTGCTCTAGGAGAAGAGATCATGCTTCCTGTGCTCCTTCTAGACCATACACGGGACATGTGGGCCACTCCACCCTTACAATAACCTTGGAGCTTCATTCTGACTCCCATGGAAAGCAGGACAGCTGAGAGGTAAGTCCCCATCTGACTCTACCTGGCTCCCTATGGGACCAGCCCCGCCCAAGTACACACCACAAGGAAGAAAGAATATACACAAAACAGTGTCCCCTAGCCCAGTCTCAGGCAGCTTCAGTTTCATTTCAAGTCTTATCCTCTTTTCCTCTGCCTTGCCCAGGCTGTGTATCACTGCCTATTTCAGCCTGAACAATAGAAGAAATGTAATCATAAGGAGAATAGGGGTGGTCAGGGCTGAAGGTTCCACAAATACAAAAATGGGGTAGGATTTTAAAAATAAAGACTCAAAAGGGCAGAAGAAAGTTAACTATGACTAAGTTAACTAGTTAAAAGATGACCTAAAGGCTCAAGTGAAAAATGAGAAAAGGAATCCTACAACCTCTCAAAGCTATAATCCAGGTGGGAGAAAGAGAAGAAGAAATGTAGAAAGAACTTAGACAGAGCTTAAGACCAGGCAGTAGGGAGAGAAGGAAGAGATTTCTGCAGATGTGACAGGACCAGAACTGGCTTCTCTGGTAAGGGGTTGTGCAGTATCATTTATGTTTTGCCATATGCTACAAGGTAAGCTTTCTGGGAGGGTATTTAGTAAGGGCATAATTGCCACTGATAAACCAGAAAGGGAATCAACAGCAACATCAACAGTAATAACAATCATATTGGTATATTGTTTACTACGTGACAAGCACTCAGCTGAACATATTTAATATCTCATTTAATATTCAAAACACCATTGAAATAGGTGCTATTATTGTCCATGTTATGGCTTGTGTCTAGATGCCTCCCCAAAGCCTCATGTGGTCATAGGTGGGGCTTTTCAGAGATGACTCTGGGATTAAGGGTATGTGATTACTAAATTAGTCCATTGATTTGTTTGGCATAGTTCTGGGTAGGATTAAGGGTGCACCACTTTGGGTGTGAGGGCTAAGGGCAGGTATTCTGGATGCAATACAAAAGGACAGAAAGAATCTGTCCCTCATTGATTATTCCTTGTTGCTTGCTGCTTGCTGCCTTCTGCCTGTCATGAACTGTTTCTCTGTGATGCCCCTCTGCCATGCCATCCTGCCTTGGAGCCAGCCAATTATGGACTGAAACTTATATGATCTGTGAGCTAAATAAATCTTTCCTCCTTTAACTTTGGGTGCCAGGTATTTTGCCTCAGCAACGAGAAAACCAAGACAGTCTCTAAGGCTTAGATAAGTGAGATGACTTGCTCAAGGTCTCCAGCAAGTGACTCTAGAGTCTGAGAGCTTATAATTGTATCCAGGGTAGAATCACACTGTGGTTTAGAGTGTTCATGGCTTACTCTCACTTGGTGTGTGTGCATATGAGACAAAGAAATAATGTTCAAACAGGTTTTGTTTTGTATTCCATGTCAGTGAGGAAGCACATAAAGGGTGAATGGCATACTTTTCTCTGTTCTCCAACCCCCTTCCAAACTTCCTGTGAGCCTGTGAACTAAGGCACAGAGAAGCAGGTTTCCAACAGCCACTTGTTACAAGGATGATGGTGTAACTCACTTGAAACCAAGCCTGCTTAGCCTGGAGAAAGCTGTCTGCTTTTTGGTAGCTAGACATTCCCTGGGTGGGGCCCCTCTTTCTTTCCATGAGCCTCTCCCTCTGGTTGCATCTTACCAAGTGGTGTTGGTTTATCAATGAGACTGGAATGCCCTTTGTCAGACAAGACTTGCACATGCTCTTACCCTTAACTCACTCATATGCCCTCACTGATAATCATTTCTTGTTAAGGGACAGGGAGGATTGGCCAAAGGACCCTTTAAACTAGCTCTACTCTGTCTTTAATAACCTAAGAATATCAGTGAAAGAATAAAAGAGTAAAAAGGGAAAAGAGAATTTGAAGTGAGAAACTGAATTGGTTGGCAGCCAGCCCTATATGAAAAGGCTTAATGACTAAATAGAAGACCTCTTCTTGAGGTCTAGGGACATAACCCTGAGTACCATGGATTCTTTTTTATCTCTTTCCCTACCCTTTTAGTCTCTGTCCCCTGAGCTTCTCTTGCTAACAATATTGCAGCAAAGAACTAAATATATCATTTTCTTCAGAGTCTGACTGTGCTGTCACTAAATCACCCTATTGATCTCTGAAAGGCATCACTGATTTCTTTAATGAGCTACTGTGCTGAATATAACTGTGAGTCTTCCCACGTGCTTTGGATTCCTGCATTGACTTGATTTATTTTCTCTTTTTTCCACCAGCTCTAATTGCATGGTCTCCACATTCTTAGACTCTTATAAGTATTCCTACTTGTCTTTAAACCCAATGTTTTGTGTCTCTCCAGTGCCTTCCTCCACATCTGATTACTTCTCACATTAACAGAGCTTTACACTGAAATTCTACATTATTCCTTCTTTCATTATTGTCAGATATCAAGGAAATTCTAGGTTTTTAATAAATTTACTTCAATAAACTCTAATTTATCTCTGAAGAAAAAGGCATAAGGCCAGAGGAGAAATCCTCAGTTGCAATCACAGAGAAAAGGAAGTATAGATAGTGAGAGAAACTTTTCAAAACTATTTGCAGATAAAATCTGAAAGCTATTTGATATAGAAGGGAGGAGACAGGCAGAGTAGGAGGCTTCTGGGCCAACCTACCACAGCTCCTAGCACAGAGGAGGTGAGCCACACAAGCGCCAGCAGTATCCCCCCCCCCACCATAGAAATGAGAAGACACATAAACAAGCCTCAAAACTAGATTTCCAGATCACCTACAGCAACCCCAAAGGGAAAGGAGATGGAAGACTCTGTTACTCAACCACCTGGACTCCCTGAACTAGCAATGAAAGATGATCTGGAAAAAATGAAACCAGAAATAATTTCTCACATAACAGCAGAGATTGTGCCCATAGTGAAAGACATGATTAATAAATCTAGGGAGGACAAAGATAAAAAAAATAGAGGAGCTGAGGAACATGATGGAATCCCAACATAGGACACAAATGGAATCCATAAAACAGATTCAAACAGATTTCCAGGATATTAAAAACTCCGCTGGAAGTCTACACAGCAGAGTGAGCCAATGTGAGGACAGAAGTTCAGATATAGAAGATAAGATTGGAATTAGTGACCAGGTAAAGACAAATTTCTTCAAAATAGTAAGAGACCATGAGAAATCAATCCAGCAGCTGCTAAATGATGCAAAGAAGAATAACATAAGACTGGAGTCGATGAAGAAACAAGAGAGTGCAGATGACATAAAAAAAACTGTTCACAGAAGTAATGGCAGAAAACTTCCCAAACAGGGGAAAAAAACTTGACATATAGATAAATGAGGCATATAGAATTCCAACTAGCTTTGATAAAAAAAAATCTAGACAAAGGCATATAATTCTTAAGATTCTAGAAACCAAACAGAAGAACAAAGTTCTACAAGCAGTTAGAGAAAAGAAACAAAACACATACAAAGGAAAGCCCATCAGAATCATAGCAGACTTCTCAATGCAAACCCTCAAGACAAGAAGAGGTTGGAGTGACGCATTTCAAGCCCTAAAGGAAAAAAACCTCCAACCCAGATTGATGTACTCTGCAAAACTATCTTTCAAAATTGATGATGAAATAAGATACTTTCCTGACAAAGAGCACCTTAGGAACTTCATGAATACCAAAACAGGACTCCAAAAAATTTTAGACAAAATCCTAGGAAAAGACAATGAGGATCACAGCCCCAGGAAGCACAGCAGGATGAATTCACCAGGCATGACAAGAAATTAAAACCAAAGTGGGAGAATCCAACAAAAAGAAAAAGTCATGACAATGATAAGTTAATACATATCAGTTATAACCATCAATGTTAATGGTCTCAACTCAGCAATCAAAAGAAATAGACTGGGAGAATGGGTCAAGAAGCAAGATTTAACAATATGTTGCATACAAGAAACACACTTTATTCAAAAAGAAACTGATAGACTGAAAGTTAAAGGGTGGAAAACAATACTCCTTGCATCAGGAATGCCAAAAAAAGCAGGAGTAGCTATTCTCTTTGCAGATCAAGTGGATTTCATACCAACACTGATTAAGAAAGACAAAGAAGGACACTATATCCTTGTAAAGGGAAGAATCCAAGAGGAAGAGATGACAATCATAAATATCTATGTAACAAACAGTAGTGTACCCAATTATAAAAAACAAATACTAACGGACATGACAAATCATACAAGCACTAATACAATAGTAGTGGGAGACCTCAATACACCACTGTCACAAATAGATCAATGAGATAAAAAACAAGCAATGAAATACTAGAACTCAATCAGACCCTTGAACAAATGATTTTAAGAGATGTTTACAGAGTGTTCCACTCCACAAAATCAGAATACACATTCCTTTCAGCTGCACATGGGTTGTTCTCCAAAACAGACCACATACTCACTCATACAACGTGTTTAAATAAGTGCAAAAGAATTGAAGTTTTCCCCCATATATTATAAGACCATAGTGCGATGAAATTGGAGATCAATAGCAAAAGAAACTGCAAAAATTACATGGACACATGGAAAGTGAACAACACACTTCTGAATAACCAATGGGTCACAGAGGAAATTAAAGAAGAAATCAGACAGTTCCTTCAATTGAATGACAATGACAATACAACATATCAGAATCTATGGGACACAATGAAAGCAGTCTTACGAGGGAAATTCATAGCAGTGAATACTTAT